CGTGTTCTGCAGTTATGATGCAACAACGACAAAAAGTGTGAGAAAGGGGAATTGAGTAGCAGTTTGTCTCGTACCCTGATAATGAACCTGTGACTCTTAAAGCAGCTTCATTACTACATGTTATTTCTTCTGTGTATAAGTGTGTGTGTGTGTGTGTGCGCACTGACCCGGACACCTGGAGGTCACAGAGGTCACAGGAGCAGAGGGGGTGACACATCCTGACGTCCTCGTTGTTCTCTCCTTCACTCAGCAGACGCTTCACCTCCACCTCATCTCCATTGGCTATGTGCTACACACACACACACACACACACACACACACACACACACACACACACACACACACACACACACACACACACACACACACACACACACACACACACACACACACACACACACACACACACACACACACACACACACACACACACACACACACACACACACACACACACACACACACACACACACACACACACACACACACACACACACACACACACACACACACACACACACAGTTGTAATGCATTTGTACACCTGTCGGTCACCGTAGGTATCCAATAAATGTAGGAAAAGCGTCATAGAAATATGTCAAAAATATTAACAAATGAATATTATAATATGTTTAAGTATATGATGGATATAAATGGTGGTTTTCATGACAAATATGTTGAAAAGCAGCTACTTCCTGGGAGCCATTAAGGGAAAAATAAACCTTCATATTCAGCCCTAAAGGCGATTAGTCCCGCCCTTTATTTCCTGAACATGTGGTTGTTTTGTGAGGGACACTGATGCATGCTGGGAGTTAGCGGCTCACCTCAAACAGACAGTGGATGGGTGTGGCGGCGCTCTGAGACAGAAGACTCATCCTCTCTTTGAACAACGTCTTATCGTTCAGCGGACCGGAGCCCTGAAGGGACAAAACACATGGACGAGATTTTGTTAAATGCTGTGAAAAAACACTGTGGGACGAATGGAATAAAAGGCCTGCTCCGTACGGAAACACAGAAGGGTCAAACATAAATAAAAATTTCCCTTATTTGCCCCCGTAGCTCCTCAGTGTGAGCAGAGATGGCAAAAGTACACACATCCTTTCCTCAAGTAGAAGTACAGATACTCGTGTTTAAAAATACTCTGGTGAAAGTAGAAGTACTGACTAAACTTCTTTACTCAAGTCAAAGTAAAGAGGGCTTTGAAATGTACTTCAGTAAAAAGTACCCATAACTAGCAGCTGTTTTAAAGAGTACCTGACCTCCCTTTATATTAATAGAACAATAATGTCATTGTTAGCTAATGAATGTTTCCATGCTGAACAACGGCAACATGACAACGTTTTCATTGGTCCCTCTTCTTTAGAGAAGACCAGGAAATGATGGATACACGGATCGTGTTCAAATCAATAGGCACGCAATGACTCTAAATAATAATGATCACGCCACCAAACACACATTCAAACTAAAGGAACCAGCCTGTTTGGGAAATGAGAGAAGTAGAAAGTACAGGTATTTGTGTTCAACATGTAAGAAGTAGAAAGTACAGGTATTTGGGTTCAACATGTAATAAGTAGAAAGTACAAGTATTTGGGTTCAACATGTGAGAAGTAGAAAGTACAGGTATTTGTGTTCAACATGTAAGAAGTAGAAAGTACAGGTATTTGGGTTCAACATGTAAGAAGTAGAAAGTACAGGTATTTGTGTTCAACATGTAAGAAGTAGAAAGTACAGGTATTTGGGTTCAACATGTGAGAAGTAGAAAGTACAGGTATTTGTGTTCAACATGTAAGAAGTAGAAAGTACAGGTATTTGGGTTCAACATGTAAGAAGTAGAAAGTACAGGTATTTGGGTTCAACATGTAAGAAGTAGAAAGTACAAGTATTTGGGTTCAACATGTGAGAAGTAGAAAGTACAGGTATTTGTGTTCAACATGTAAGAAGTAGAAAGTACAGGTATTTGGGTTCAACATGTAAGAAGTAGAAAGTACAGGTATTTGTGTTCAACATGTAAGAAGTAGAAAGTACAGGTATTTGGGTTCAACATGTGAGAAGTAGAAAGTACAGGTATTTGTGTTCAACATGTAAGAAGTAGAAAGTACAGGTATTTGTGTTCAACATGTAAGAAGTAGAAAGTACAGGTATTTGTGTTCAACATGTAAGAAGTAGAAAATACAGGTATTTGTGTTCAACATGTAAGAAGTCCCATGTCTGAGTGTGAGTGTGTGTGACTCACGGTGTGTGTGAGTGTGAGTGTGAGTGTGAGTGTGAGTGTGAGTGTGAGTGTGAGTGTGTGTGTGTGTGTGTGTGTGTGTGTGTGTGTGTGTGTGTGTGACTCACAGTGTGTGTGTGAGTGTGAGTGTGAGTGTGAGTGTGAGTGTGAGTGTGAGTGTGAGTGTGAGTGTGAGTGTGTGTGTGTGTGTGTGTGTGTGTGTGTGTGTGTGTGACTCACAGTGTGTGTGTGAGTGTGAGTGTGAGTGTGAGTGTGAGTGTGAGTGTGAGTGTGAGTGTGAGTGTGAGTGTGTGTGTGAGTGTGAGTGTGTGTGTGTGTGTGTGTGTGTGTGTGTGTGTGACTCACGGTGTGTGTGTGTCGCAGCTTCCCCAGGTTGATGAACTGGACCGCAGCCTCGAAGGTGCTCAGACAGTAGCTCAGCTCGTCTTTGCTCCAGTGGCTGAAGCAGAAGTTCTTGATGTAGCTGAGGTTGGCCATCCTGAGGACAGGCAGCAGCACAACTCAATAATGAACCAACTGCATTTGGGATTTATAAAACACTCACAAAATTACAGAAAAAAATGAATTGTTTCCCTAAGACTATAAAGTTGTTACATTTAAATTATAAAAATCCAACTTTTTGAAAAAACGTTATTTTTTTATGGAATATTTGGTTATATTTATATATTTTTTATATATTCTCTCAGAATAAAAAGTTGTTTTTCTTTTCGAAAAAGTGTATTTATTGTCCGATTGTAATTTGTTAGAAAAACTATTTTTTTTTTTACATTTCTCTGAGATTATAAAAACCTGACATTTTGAAAAATAATAATGATGGAATATTTGCTGAGATTCTAAAGTTGTTTTTCCTAAAAAGATTGAATATTGTCTAATTATAATTTGTGAGAAAAACTCAAATAATAATTGAATATTTCTAAAGATTAAGAAGTTGTAAAATTGCGAGAAAAATCGCACAAAATTGCAAAAAGGGTGAATTTTCTCCGGCTTCTTGAAAAAAAACCCATTATTTTCTTTTAATGGAATATTTGCTGAGAATTCAATTTCTACATTTGCAAGAAAAACAAAAGTTTCCAATTTCTTTTTTAAATATTGTCTGATTATAATTTGAGAAAAGAACTCAAACATTTGTAACAAAAAAAAATAATATTCCCTAAATATATATATTTTTTTAATTGCTAGAAAATATCTCTCAAATCTGCAAGAAAAAACAGGAACTTGTTAAAACCACTAAAGTGTGCACGTCACGCTTTGAGGGGCTATGAGAATTTAAGATTATTTTTATGTTATTTGTGCGAAACAAGCCTTCAACAGAGACGCTTCTTGACATTTACATACTCCAGAAATCATCCTTGTTTCCCCTTCACTATACACAAGGTCAAAGGTCAACGCTCACCAGTTGGGGATCTCCGTCTTCACCAGCAGATAGAGGATGACGGACAGCAGGTCGTCTGCACACACAGCCTCAATACTCACTGCAGAGAAACAAACACACACTCTGTTAGGAGACACTACATCCTGATATACACCTGAACATCAGCAGGAGAGGACTCTTTAAAGTAGAGACACTACATACTGATATACACCTGAACATCAGCAGGAGAGGACTCTTTAAAGTAGAGACACTACATACTAATATACACCTGAACATCAGCAGGAGAGGACTCTTTAAAGTAGAGACACTACATACTGATATACACCTGAACATCAGCAGGAGAGGACTCTTTAAAGTAGAGACACTACATACTGATATACACCTGAACATCAGCAGGAGAGGACTCTTTAAAGTAGAGACACTACATACTGATATACGCCTGAACATCAGCAGGAGAGGACTCTTTAAAGTAGAGACACTACATACTGATATACACCTGAACATCAGCAGGAGAGGACTCTTTAAAGTAGAGACACTACATACTGATATACACCTGAACATCAGCAGGAGAGGACTCTTTAAAGTAGAGACACTACATACTGATATACACCTGAACATCAGCAGGAGAGGACTCTTTAAAGTAGAGACACTGCATACTGATATACACCTGAACATCAGCAGGAGAGGACTCTTTAAAGTAGAGACACTACATACTGATATACACCTGAACATCAGCAGGAGAGGACTCTTTAAAGTAGAGACACTACATACTGATATACACCTGAACATCAGCAGGAGAGGACTCTTTAAAGTAGAGACACTTGAAAAGTGAGTGAATTGGTCTCTTGACAAACGTTATTAGAAACGGGTCGTACCACTCTGCAGGCTGACACGGGGGGTTGTTATGAGCTTTAGATTTCCAAAACAAACTGGACAAACACATCAGAGGCGGACAGAGCGGGTATTGTTCTGCGAGCTGATCTGATAACAGAGAGGACGCTCACAGTTTACCCAGAGTTCAGTGTGCTTCCACAGAGTTGAAGACAGAAAATATCACTTCCCCCTCTGATATATAGTAGTGTATTACGGATATTGTAAAGTAAAACTTTTTTTTTTTTTAATGACGGCACTGGAGGGCAAGAGAAATATTGAGAGAACAAACCTTCAGAGTTAAAGTTGTAAAGAAAACATTCCCAAAATGTAAAGAAAAGTCATAATTTTGCTGATAACTTTACAATATTCAAGCAATAAAATAACTTGAATATTGTCTGAGACTATGAAGTTCAACATTTGCAACAACTAACTCACAAATGAACCAGAAAACTTCAATTATAAAGTAAAAAATTGCGACAAAATAATGTTAAATGATCTCGGCATCTGTGTTTTTCAGCTAAATACGCAACTTGGATCTCGGTCAATTCAAAAATCTAATGTATATGAATTATTTTAACCAATAATGGCCAAAATCAGCAGTCATAAATGACGTCTGTGGCTTCCAGAGACAAATGAAGCTCGGTCTGATTAATCAATTAGACTCACTTTACTTTAAATATTCCAATTAATACTTCAAGTTTGAATATTGAAATCTGACATTGTTGGATTCTAACCTCTGAAAACACACACAATGTATTCAAATTAATACCTTAAGTTTCACGGTTTTTAAAACATTAGATTCTATATTGAAATTATTTTCCTTCAATTCTAAATGTATTTTTACGTGCTTGTAAATGAGTGTAGAACAGGAACACACACACACACACACACACACACACACACACACACACACACACACACACACACACACACACACACACACACACACACACACACACACACACACACACACACACACACACACACACACACACACACACACACACACACACACACACACCACACACACACACACACACACACACACACACACACACACACACACACACACACACACACACACACACACACACACACACACACACACACACACACACACACACACACACACACACACACACACACACACACACACACACACCAGATGCTCGGGGGCTCTGGGTGGCGGTCAGGGCGACTCGGCGCAGACACATCAGCTTGAGGAGGGGGGAGGTCTGCAGGTTCAGCTGACTCAGCTCTCTCTTCGCCCGCGACAAGTTCATACTGAAAAAATAAAACAGCAGAACATAAAACAGATTCTTTATTTTCTTACATATATTCAGAGATGGCAAAAGTACACACATCCTTTACTCAAGTAGAAGAACAGAGACTCGTGTTTAAAAATACTCTGGTGAAAGTAGAAGTACTGACTAAACTTCTTTACTCAAGTCAAAGTAAAGAGGCTTTGAAATGTACTTCAGTAAAAAGTACCCATAACTAGCAGCTGTTTTAAAGAGTACCTGACCTCCCTTTATATTAATAGAACAATAATGTCATTGTTAGCTAATGAATGTTTCCATGCTGAACAACGGCAACATGACAACGTTTTCATTGGTCCCTCTTCTTTAGAGAAGACCAGGAAATGATGGATACACGGATCGTGTTCAAATCAATAGGCACGCAATGACTCTAAATAATAATGATCACGCCACCAGACACACATTCAAACTAAAGGAACCAGCCTGTTTGGAAAATGTGAGAAGTAGAAAGTACAGGTATTTGTGTTCAACATGTAAGAAGTAGAAAGTACAGGTATTTGGGTTCAACATGTAAGAAGTAGAAAGTACAGGTATTTGTGTTCAACATGTAAGAAGTAGAAAGTACAGGTATTTGGGTTCAACATGTGAGAAGTAGAAAGTACAGGTATTTGTGTTCAACATGTGAGAAGTAGAAAGTACAGGTATTTGGGTTCAACATGTAAGAAGTAGAAAGTACAGGTATTTGTGTTCAACATGTAAGAAGTAGAAAGTACAGGTATTTGGGTTCAACATGTGAGAAGTAGAAAGTACAGGTATTTGTGTTCAACATGTAAGAAGTAGAAAGTACAGGTATTTGTGTTCAAAATGTAAGAAGTAGAAAGTACAGGTATTTGTGTTCAAAATGTAAGAAGTAGAAAGTACAGGTATTTGTGTTCAAAATGTAAGAAGTAGAAAGTACAGGTATTTGGGTTCAACATGTGACAAGTAGAAAGTACAGGTATTTGTGTTCAACATGTGAGAAGTAGAAAGTACAGGTATTTGGGTTCAAATGTAAGAAGTCAAAGTAAAAAGTAGTGGAGTAAAGTACTGATACCAGAAACATGTACTTAAGTACAGTAACAAAGTATTTGTTCTCCACTACTTCCCACCTCTGGTTATATTCAGAAAGTCTCCAACAGTGAGCAAAGCAGCTTGAGTGTCAATATATCCGTCCTTCTTTCATGGCAACGATGCAAACTCCGTCCAAAAACCAGTACAAATCAAGTGAGATAAGGACTATTTAGTCCAAATGTTATTTCTTATATTGAAGCTATTTCAGAATGTTTATTCCCTTTGCAAAATAGGTCTGTGTTCTCCACGTGCCTTACAGTTATTATTGGATCATACGAGAATGATATGCAAAGCCAAATTATAAGGAAGACAAGGCAAGCTAGGATTAAGCGCCATAATTCTGCTAATGTGAATATATGTTTGTTATTTTGGTTTTAACCGTTTGGTTCAAGTTTAGCAGGAAACCTTGTTCTTATTGTGTTCATGCTGCATGATATGACTTAAAGTGGACCTATCATGCTATATTTGAATAATATAGTGTAGGACCATACCTATATAAGGCATATTTATACTTTTTTTTTTTCAAAATACCAAACAGATCATGCATTTTAGCCATGCCTCATTTTGCTCAATTTGACATTTTTTAGCTCAGTTTTAGCAAGGGCTGATTCAGTGAGAACAGCACCATCTACAGGCCTGGCATATGTACTACAGCGTCTCCAGCGCTTTCGAACGGCAATGGCCGTGGCTGTCTCCTCCTGATTGGTGGAGTTGGCCCAATAGCCGTAGCGCCACCGTCCTGACGTCAGGACAGTGTTCAAATCTGGATCAGTTTTTATCAGATCCGTTGCAGCCCCTTTTTTAGAGATTTGGGTATGGAGGAAAATAGAGAGGGTTGTGTTTTCTGACACTTGGTGAGTTCCCTGGAACACCGGGGACACATATTCATGTAGAAAAGACGTACAAAAGTGCATTTTGCATGATAGGTCCCCTTTAAAGAGGAAGTGGAATATAAGTACCTGAACTCCGGTTTGACTCCCAGCTCTTTCTGCTGCAGATCGTGCAAACTGCGTGTGGTTTTATTGAAAGCAGCGTCCTTGTGAGACAGAAACACACACTTTATAAACATCTTTAAAGTAAATTAACATCTGTTTTTACTGCATCGTTGTTTGTAGGTGTTGGGAAGACAGAAATACAAAATAAATAAGCATCAAGGAAGAAGTACTCAGATCCTCGACTCAAAAGTACTCATACTACTAATGCATACAGTTGTGGCTACGTATGATTAACATATGCAATAAGACGATGGAGAAACAAAGAAGACTTTTTTATCCTCCAATGGAAAATCCTACAGCTCAATGTACTTCATGACAAAATGTGTTTGTCCCAATAAAAACATTTCCATCAGAATAATCAGCGAGAATTCAAACATACCTGGCTGGCTTCAAGCGTTCCCACAAAGTTAAAAATTAAATCATGGATACCATGATGAACATACATCTGGGAGAAGAAGAAACACACAGAAAACATTAAAGTTTACACACAACAGCTGGGAGACTGATGTTCAGGTGTCAGTAAAGTAAAATTATCAGCAAAATTATGACTTTTCTTTACATTTTGGGAATGTTTTCTTTACAACTTTAACTCTGAAGGTTTGTTCTCTCAATATTTCTCTTGTCCTCCAGTGCCGTCATTAAAAAAAATAATGTTTTACTTTACAATATCCGTAATACACTACTATATATCAGAGGGGGAAGTGATCTTTTCTGTCTTCAACTCTGTGGAAGCACACTGAGCTCTGGGTAAACTGTGAGCATCCTCTCTGTTATCAGATCAGCTCGCAGAACAATACCCGCTCTGTCCGCCTCTGATGTGTTTGTCCAGTTTGTTTTGGAAATCTAAAGCTCATAACAACCCCCCGTGTCAGCCTGCAGAGTGGTACGATAACGTTTATCAAGAGACAAATTCACTCACTTTTCAAGTGCCTCTACTTTAAAGAGTCCTCTCCTGCTGATGTTCAGGTGTATATCAGTATGTAGTGTCTCTACTTTAAAGAGTCCTCTCCTGCTGATGTTCAGGTGTATATCAGTATGTAGTGTCTCTACTTTAAAGAGTCCTCTCCTGCTGATGTTCAGGTGTATATCAGTATGTAGTGTCTCTACTTTAAAGAGTCCTCTCCTGCTGATGTTCAGGTGTATATCAGTATGTAGTGTCTCTACTTTAAAGAGTCCTCTCCTGCTGATGTTCAGGTGTATATCAGTATGTAGTGTCTCTACTTTAAAGAGTCCTCTCCTGCTGATGTTCAGGTGTATATCAGTATGTAGTGTCTCTACTTTAAAGAGTCCTCTCCTGCTGATGTTCAGGTGTATATCAGTATGTAGTGTCTCTACTTTAAAGAGTCCTCTCCTGCTGATGTTCAGGTGTATATCAGTATGTAGTGTCTCTACTTTAAAGAGTCCTCTCCTGCTGATGTCCAGGTGTATATCAGTATGTAGTGTCTCTACTTTAAAGAGTCCTCTCCTGCTGATGTTCAGGTGTATATCAGTATGTAGTGTCTCTACTTTAAAGAGTCCTCTCCTGCTGATGTCCAGGTGTCAGTATGTAGTGTCTCTACTTTAAAGAGTCCTCTCCTGCTGATGTTCAGGTGTCAGTATGTACTGTCTCTACTTTAAAGAGTCCTCTCCTGCTGATGTTCAGGTGTCAGTATGTAGTGTCTCTACTTTAAAGAGTCCTCTCCTGCTGATGTTCAGGTGTCAGTATGTAGTGTCTCTACTTTAAAGAGTCCTCTCCTGCTGATGTTCAGGTGTATGTCAGTATGTAGTGTCTCTACTTTAAAGAGTCCTCTCTTGCTGATGTTCAGGTGTCAGTATGTACTGTCTCTACTTTAAAGAGTCCTCTCCTGCTGATGTTCAGGTGTATATCAGTATGTAGTGTCTCTACTTTAAAGAGTCCTCTCCTGCTGATGTTCAGGTGTCAGTATGTAGAGTCTCTACTTTAAAGAGTCCTCTCCTGCTGATGTTCAGGTGTATGTCAGTATGTAGTGTCTCTACTTTAAAGAGTCCTCTCTTGCTGATGTTCAGGTGTCAGTATGTACTGTCTCTACTTTAAAGAGTCCTCTCCTGCTGATGTTCAGGTGTCAGTATGTAGTGTCTCTACTTTAAAGAGTCCTCTCCTGCTGATGTTCAGGTGTCAGTATGTAGTGTCTCTACTTTAAAGAGTCCTCTCCTGCTGATGTTCAGGTGTCAGTATGTAGTGTCTCTACTTTAAAGAGTCCTCTCCTGCTGATGTTCAGGTGTATATCAGTATGTAGTGTCTCTACTTTAAAGAGTCCTCTCCTGCTGATGTTCAGGTGTATATCAGTATGTAGTGTCTCTACTTTAAAGAGTCCTCTCCTGCTGATGTTCAGGTGTATATCAGTATGTAGTGTCTCTACTTTAAAGAGTCCTCTCCTGCTGATGTTCAGGTGTATATCAGTATGTATTGTCTCTACTTTAAAGAGTCCTCTCCTGCTGATGTTCAGGTGTATATCAGTATGTACTGTCTCTACTTTAAAGAGTCCTCTCCTGCTGATGTTCAGGTGTATATCAGTATGTAGTGTCTCTACTTTAAAGAGTCCTCTCCTGCTGATGTTCAGGTGTATATCAGTATGTAGTGTCTCTACTTTAAAGAGTCCTCTCCTGCTGATGTTCAGGTGTATATCAGTATGTAGTGTCTCTACTTTAAAGAGTCCTCTCCTGGTGATGTTCAGGTATATATCAGTATGTAGTGTCTCTACTTTAAAGAGTCCTCTCCTGCTGATGTTCAGGTGTATATCAGTATGTAGTGTCTCTACTTTAAAGAGTCCTCTCCTGCTGATGTTCAGGTGTATATCAGTTTGTAGTGTCTCTACTTTAAAGAGTCCTCTCCTGCTGATGTTCAGGTGTATATCAGTATGTAGTGTCTCTACTTTAAAGAGTCCTCTCCTGCTGATGTTCAGGTGTATATCAGTATGTAGTGCCTCTACTTTAAAGAGTCCTCTCCTGCTGATGTTCAGGTGTATATCAGTATGTAGTGTCTCTACTTTAAAGAGTCCTCTCCTGCTGAGGTTCAGGTGTATATCAGTATGTAGTGTCTCTACTTTAAAGAGTCCTCTCCTGCTGATGTTCAGGTGTATATCAGTTTGTAGTGTCTCTACTTTAAAGAGTCCTCTCCTGCTGATGTTCAGGTGTATATCAGTATGTAGTGTCTCTACTTTAAAGAGTCCTCTCCTGCTGATGTTCAGGTGTATATCAGTATGTAGTGTCTCTACTTTAAAGAGTCCTCTCCTGCTGATGTTCAGGTGTATATCAGTATGTAGTGTCTCTACTTTAAAGAGTCCTCTCCTGCTGATGTTCAGGTGTATATCAGTTTGTAGTGTCTCTACTTTAAAGAGTCCTCTCCTGCTGATGTTCAGGTGTATATCAGTATGTAGTGTCTCTACTTTAAAGAGTCCTCTCCTGCTGATGTTCAGGTGTATATCAGTATGTAGTGTCTCTACTTTAAAGAGTCCTCTCCTGCTGATGTTCAGGTGTATATCAGTATGTAGTGTCTCTACTTTAAAGAGTCCTCTCCTGCTGATGTTCAGGTGTATATCAGTATGTAGTGTCTCTACTTTAAAGAGTCCTCTCCTGCTGATGTTCAGGTGTATATCAGTGTGTAGTGACGTTACCTCCACAGCCTGTTTGAGCAGAGTCATCTGAAGCTGCTGTTTGGCCAGGAGTTTCTGTAGAAACATGAAAAAAACCCACCTTCATCAGAGCTCCTCCAACAATACAACATATATAATAAAATACAAAAATACAAAATAGTGCAAGAAGTCTATATACATGTAAATGGAATATATGATATGTACAAGAACAGAATATTAAATAAAATAATGTACATTAAGACAAAAGGACAAAATGCATTAGTCAGCGCTCGGGAGGCGACGCCCCCTCTAACTGTGATTAGGCGGAAATTGAGAGGGAGAGTCAGAGGAGATCTGATTAGAGGCGTCTCGTGTCCTGTGGTGACTTTACTCATCTATGAGTCTGTACCAAAGGTCAGGGGTCACATCAGGGAGGTGTTTCCTTTAGATAACCTGAAAATCTGATTAAAGCTGCTCTTCCTCTTTCTGAAAGGAGCCGCTATGGAGGACAGTCTTGCACTAATGTACATTCTCAAAGATATTGAAGTGACTGTTATTTTGTATATATTGATTGTTGTGCTTTTATTTAGGTCTTAATGAGTGCATATGCATAAATGTGTCTTTTGATTGTGTAGGTATATACATATTTGTATTTTTGTATTCTGGATTTTGACTTTGACTTGACTTTGAAAAGACTCTTCCTATTGGCTTTGGATTGAGTTTAGCTGGACTTCATCTTCTGTTGTTTTGTAACTGTTTTACTATTAAACTAAAATATTGTTCATAATTTTCACATCAAAGCCATCAAAGCCTGTAAATACTTAGATAATTAAGTAAAAGAAAATACATTATAAATAGAAAATATTGTACATGAATGGATTTTAGAGAACTACTTTAGGCATATCTTTTTTATTTTGTAACTGCCGAGTTGTTTGAACTTATTAGGCAGTTTTCACACACACAGACCGTATGCACTGTGTCCCACATGAAGTTGGCATTTTCTCTCTAAACTAGCAGGAAGTTAGCCTTTTATGATATGTCAGCACTTCCTTCCACTTCTTCAATAATTCACAAAAGTCCAAATCTTTTCGCTTTTTTGGCAGTTTCTAGACAGACCGCATGCACTTCATCCCACCGGAAGTTACCATTAAGTTAGCAGGAAGTTAGCATGTTGTGCTTAGACACAGGGTTCATACACTTTTTCTCAAAGGATTTTCAATTACTTTTCCATGACTTCTCCAGGACCTTTACCTAATTTTCCATGACCAAAAAAATTACTTTCTCAGCGGTACCACTGAAAATGGTTTATTTTAAAATGGAACAGGAACATAAGGTCTGAAACATGTTGTGCCTATCTAAAACAAATCAAATTGGCTTACTAGCTTCTACACGCTAAAGCAACTAAAATCTCTCACCAGCAAAATACCTCGTCAGTTAAATGCCATTTTACGTTTCATTACTATACGATACAGTATTTATTATCATTATAGTATTACTATTTTGGCGATTAGATAAAATATAAATTATATTTGATGCAACTTTAGTTACATTTCCATGACTTTTCCAAAACTTTGGGAAAAATATTGTTTTCCATAACTTTTCGAGGGCCTGGAATTAGCGTTTTGAATTTCCATGACTTTTCCAGGTTTTTAATGACCGTAAGAACCCTGGAGACAGCATATTGTTCATTGTATGCCAACGTACATTTTCCCTCTGTGGGACTAATAAAGGTATTCTGATTCTGCTAACTTAGCTTCAAATGCTAACTTCCTGTGCCATATGGTCTGTCTGAAAACAACTTGAAAAAATATTGTAAGTCTTTCTATGTGATAATTAGCATTAGCGTTACATTGCTAAAGATTGTAATCAAAAGCATCTCTAAGGACCGTGGTTATGTTTCAGTGATTGCACAAGAAGTCTTTTTAACAAAGTGTAAACAGGGTCACGTTTCAATCAGCTGTCGCTTCTATCCAGAACTAATATAAGGGTGCATGCGTCTCTAAGTTACAGCATTTCAAGATGAATGAGCGGCTAACGGTCTTCAAATGATCCACAAAGAGCAATCTGTGGTTATTGTGACACAAATCAAATCACAATGTTACACACCAGGTTATGACGTCAATCTGTAGCACATGATAGCACAATGAGTAACAATTTAAATCCATTTATTTGTGACTTCCTGGGATGAAAAGCAAGATGAGAGCAACAGAGGGGTTCGAGGAGAGCTTCACATCAAGTCTGTCGTAAGATAATATGAATATTAAGGTTTTTTTTATCTCTAACTCATCAGTTATAGTTCATTCCTGCAGGTTTCACTCACCAGGCGAGAGTCTCTCAGCAGACACTGAAGACATTTAGTGTAAAGACCATTCACCGAGTCCTGAGGAAAGAGAGGAGGGGTCAGCACTGCAGGAGGACTTTAAATGTGCTGTACGTTTATTATTCTTCATGTTAAAGGAAAAACACAACATAAAAATGTACGAAATGTAAGGAAAGCCAAGTTTATAGAGCACTTCTTCTGTATTACTTTGAAATGCTCTTACTGATTGTTTATACCACGGATGTGTTCTTAGTTGATTTTATAAAAATGAATTTGCCACTTTAAATAATGGAAGAGGATTAGGGAAATATGTGAAAAACTCATTGAGATCTGACCAAAAGTGACTTTCTTGTTCTGTTCTGATTATAAGATTAAGGAATGTTTTTTAAATACATTTTCAGACTTTGTTTTCTCTGAACGTTTGAATATTTTCTCAGAGTTTTTTCTTGGAATTCTGACATTTTTTCTTAGAATTTTTTCTCAGAATTTTTTCTTAGAATTGTTGTCTTTGTTCGTAGAATTTTTTTTACTTTTTTCGTAGAAACTTTTACTTTTTTCTCAGAAAATGTTGACGTTTTTCTCAGAAAATGTTGACGTTTTATTCAGAAAATGTTGACGTTTTTCTCAGAAAATGTTGACGTTTTTCTCAGAAAATGTTGACGTTTTTCTCAGAAAATGTTGACGTTTTTCTTGGAATTCTGACTTGTTTCTTTGAATTTCTGACTTTTCTCTGAATTCTGCATTTGTCCTAAAAGAAAACCTCACTCTTGGTCCTAATCCTTTTTAACTAACATTTTAGTCAAATCAATGAAGTAGCCTTCTATCTGCACTGTCCCCTTTGAAGTAACAATTTACACTTCACAAATCAAGAGAGGATCTGAATCTTGAATAAGAATAAAAACAGGAAATGGTAAAAGAAGGTGCGACTTTTTTCTTGGAATTTCTGACTTTTCTTCAGAACTTTGGACTTTTTTCTTAGAATTGTTTATTTGTTTATCAGAATAGTTTTTTCACAGAATTGTTTGACTTTTGTTTCAGGACTTTAGACTTTTTAATAATTTTTTACTTTTCTCTCAGAATGTTTGACTTTTTTTCTCTGAATTTTCCTTTAGATTTTTTGAATTTTTCTTAGAATTGTTGACTTTTTTCCCAAATATTTTGAGTTGTTTATCAGAAATATTTTTTCTTTCTTTCTTGTATTTTTGGCCTTTTCTCTCAGAATATTTCATTTTTTTTAATAACTTTGTACTTTTTTCTCAGAATTTTTTACTTGTATCTGCACTGTCCCCTTTAAAGTAACAATTACAATTTCATGTATAACATTCTTGAATAAGAATAAAGACAGAAAATGGTAAAAGAAGGTAAAGAAAGAAGACATGTTGTCGTACGATGTGGTGCTGCAGCCCCTTCCTCTCCTGCTCTCTGAAGTTCTGGATGAGTTCGTCCAGTTTCTGCGTGGGGCGGCCCAGGAACTCCCAGACTGTTTTATCAGAACTTTTGACTTTTTCTTATAATTTTAGACCTTTTTATCAGAACTTTAACAGATAATAAAGTTAACAGAACTTCTTTCTTATAATTTTAGATATTTTTCTTAGAATTCTGAATTTATTTCTAAGAATTTTCACTTTTTCTGACTTTTTTGTCTTAGAATTCATAATGTTTCCTAAACTAAAAGAAAACCTCACTCTTGGACTCTTGAATAAGCATAAAGACGGAAAATTGAAATAGAAAGAAAGAAATGTTGTCGTACGATGTGGTGCCGCAGCCCCTTCCTCTCCTGCTCTCTGAAGTTCTGGCAGAAGTTCTGGATGAGTTTGTCCAGTTTCTGCGCGTGGCGGCCCAGGAACCCCCGGACGTCCTCCAGGCTCCGCAGGCAGAAGGGAGGCGGCGGGCTGAGATCTGCCGGGCCAGGATCCTCCTCCACGGGTCGGGAGAGAACCAGGATGCTGTAGCTCTGCTCCTGCTGGTTGTAAAACGTCTCCTCGAACAGGATGGGCACCGAGGCCAGGGAGCCGGGGCCCAGAAAGACCCGTCTGTCCTGGATCCGGACCTCCTGCAACAAGAACAATATAATGTATAGGCATAGATATAAGATATGAGGGGGGGGGGGGTTACCTTGGTTGGTGATTGGCTAATGGTTACACAAGACAAAACATCGTTATGACATCATAAAGTGGCCAAAATCTGATCAGCTCATTTTCAGACAGGTTTTTATATAAATGGATCAGGACAAAAAGAGAGAGAATCTTTGTTCCTGAAACTTTCAGAGTCTCTTTCCACAGAGGGGACACATGTTGATGAAGAAGAGACATGAAGAAGAGGGGACACATGTTGATGTAGAGGATACATGAAGAAGAGGGGACACATGGTGATGTAGAAGAGACATGAAGAAGAGGGGACACATGGTGATGTAGAGGATACATGAAGAAGAGGGGACACATGTTGATGTAGAAGAGACATGAAGAAGAGGGGACACATGTTGATGTAGAAGAGACATGAAGAAGAGGGGACACATGGTGATGTAGAAGAGACATGAAGAAGAGGGGACACATGTTGATGTAGAAGAGACATGAAGAAGAGGGGACACATGTTGATGTAGAAGAGACATGAAGAAGAGGGGACACATGTTGATGAAGAAGAGGGGACACGTGTTGATGTAGAAGAGACATGAAGAAGAGGGGACACATGTTGATGTAGAAGAGACATGAAGAAGAGGGGACACATGTTGATGTAGAAGAGACATGAAGAAGAGGGGACACATGTTGATGTAGAAGAGACATGAAGAAGAGGGGACACATGTTGATGTAGAAGAGACATGAAGAAGAGGGGACACATGTTGATGAAGAAGAGGGGACACGTGTTGATGTAGAAGAGACATGAAGAAGAGGGGACACATGTTGATGTAGAAGAGACATGAAGAAGAGGGGACACATGTTGATGTAGAAGAGACATGAAGAAGAGGGGACACATGTTGATGAAGAAGAGACATGAAGAAGAGGGGACACATGTTGATGAAGAAGAGACATGAAGAAGAGGGGACACATGTTGATGTAGAAGAGACATGAAGAAGAGGGGACACATGTTGATGTAGAAGAGACATGAAGAAGAGGGGACACATGTTGATGTAGAAGAGACATGAAGAAGAGGGGACACATGTTGATGTAGAAGAGACATGAAGAAGAGGGGACACATGTTGATGTAGAAGAGACATGAAGAAGAGGGGACACATGTTGATGTAGAAGAGACATGAAGAAGAGGGGACACATGTTGATGTAGAAGAGACATGAAGAAGAGGGGACACATGTTGATGTAGAAGAGACATGAAGAAGAGGGGACACATGTTGATGTAGAAGAGACATGAAGAAGTGCATTTTGCATAATAGGTGACCTTTAATGGGTTCTGATGGAGTTTGTGTTAATAAACAAACCTTTCCGTCCGCAGTGAGGTACCCGTCCTCTGCCGGCTGCAGCACATAGCTGTCGAACTGAGAGTCTGAGAAGCTGCTGACGGTCAAACTTCCCACACACGGCACCAGAACCTGAAGGCAACACAGCACCACAGAAAACATTTTACCTCTAAATTCAATTCATTAACCACTCAACACAGATTTAAACTGACCTAACCCAACCAAATCCAATATATCCGATTTGTTTTATATGATTCCAGGACTTTGTCTTCACTGTGAGCGGCTGGGATGTGTTTTTGTCCAGACAGGGAAAGAAAAGTACATCAGATACTGAATCTGCATGGTCAGAAAGCAGAGATACAACAGCCTATAAGGGCCGAACGGCAGTAAACAAATAAATACAATTACACTAATTGCAGAGCTTGTGGACGAAGGTGACACCCAAGAAAAAAATCTTAAATTTACAAGATTTTATTCGTAGATTTAAGAGATAAAAACGTTCAAAAAGCTCATGAATTTAGAGGAAAGACCTAAGAACATTATTTTAGATTATAACGTAGTCAATTTGCCAAAAAACACTCAAGAATTAACAAGAAACAAATTACAATATTATTTAAGATTATTAAAAAAAAATCGCAAAATTACGAAGAAGAAACCTGACTTCTGAGATAATAAATCCCTAAAACTTGCGTGAAAATGCGTGAAAATACTTGAAAATACTTGAAAATACTTGACTTCACAAATTGACTTTAAAAATCCTAAACAATTTCATGTGAAACAAAGAAAAAGCAAGCCAGAAACAGCATTTTCTGACAAAGCTCTGCTGCACGGCCTCTCAACATGACTGTCATACTTATACAATTGTACATATATTTAATACAAATAAAAGTTCTAGGTTTGATATTTCACATCATTTCTTTACAGTTCATCCAGACTTCCCTCCAATGTCTTTAAACTGAAACCAAAGCGAACCACTCGTGACATTTTCTCATTCAGGGTCATTTAGGGATGTCGAGACAGATTTAATCACAAGACAGAAAAGGTTGTGAAACCAGCGGTGCGTTTCACTTCGGTTAAATGGATTCCTTGCGTCCCTCACTTGTTTCCCTGCGACTAGTCCCTCCCACCAAGGAAGCACGGAGAGACGCAAGGAAACCACGAGAAGCAGGGAAATGAGTTTTTAGATCAATGGGACGTCCTTTCCTCCGGAGCGTCACGTGAAGCGTCACGTGAAGCAACGTCCGTTTGTGATGACGCCGCACAGCTGATCGTCTGACAGCAGCCAGATCAGTGCATGCGCTGCATCGTCCAATCAGTGAGCAATACACAGTAAGGGGGCGGGGCGAGTGTCTGAGGATTTCGCCGGAGGATGGTCTGGTAGTTCCTCGATTATCGCTCCTCCGTTATCGCTCCTCGGGCAGAAATAAGGCCACTGGGACGCTACTCAAGATGGCGCAGACAAATCAACTTCCGGTGATACCGAGACCGACGAGCGAGGAAATGAAAAATAAGAGAAGTGAAACGCACCCCCAGGACACTTTGAACAGCGTGCATTGTGGGTATGCTGTCAATTTGTTGTGTTTTGTATCAGCGGTGAAATGCATACAAGAAACTGTAATCCTTCTGGAGGCATTTTCTGTAAGAAAGTAGAAATATGGCGGGGTATACATGGCATTTAAGGTTAAACAAATAAGGATTATGGAGCTGGGGAGGGAGCTGCTAATCCAAAATGTACAAGATAAAATGTGTAAAAATTAAGTCGTGAGATTATATAGTCCTACATTTGTGAGAGAACACTCACAAATTAAGAGGAAATGAATTACAAAATAATTTAAAATTATAAACAGGGAACATTTGCAAGAAAAACTGGCAACATTAAATAAAAAATACTTTACTATTTTGAGATTATAAAGGCTTGCATTTGCAAAAAAAAAATCAATAACGTAGGGAACACTTAAATATTCTGAAATTCAAAATGTGCTTCAAAATATTCGTTTTTTTCGGCAAAAAAAAAATATATTCTATGATTTTAGAGTCATACACTTTGAAAAAGAAATTCTTTGAGATTATAAATGTATACATTTTCTAGAAAAATATCAGAAATGACTTAGAAAACATTGGAATATTCTCTGAGAATAATAAGTAAAAGGTGATAACTCAATAGTCACAAATGAAGGAGAAAAACCCACAGAAATTCATTCCTAATCTAATTTCCGTGCGTGCGTGCGTGCGTGCGTGCGTGCGTGCGTGCGTGCGTGAGCAGGTGGTGCCCGTTTAGCTGGTTGGCTGCATCCGACACTGATTGGTCCACCTGACCCGCAAGGCAGTCCCTCGGCCCCTCTCTCATCGCCCTCTCCTACTCCCAACTCCGTGCCAGTGACCCATTAGGTCCCTGTTGTACCTTTTTGTTATTGTAAAAAGCTAAGCTAATGTAAGCTGTTCTTGGAGACACTCTTTAATTTATGTAGGAGTGCGAAACCCTTTTTTGTTTAAATCTCGTCTTTTCGTTAGGATAGGTAAGACGCCTGTATTTTGTTTAAAGTTTAAAGCTATGGGATGCAACGGTTTTGTTTGTTGTGTGGGTTTGTAGTAATTCAACTACCAACGGTATTTTTCTGTGTACTGACGTCTTCTTGGGAGTGGGAAGAGTGGGGAGAGCGTGCAACTGTGTGCCTAGGTTCCCCTTGACCTGGGCGTAACAAGCGCTACAGGAAGGTAAGACTCACGATGCCGTGCAGCTCGGCCACTCGGCTGCAGAGGTCCGGTCTCTGCTTCTCCAGCGCCAAGTAGAACGGGTTCTTCATGATGTTCTCATCATACACAGCCATAAGGAGCTGCAGGTCGGGATCCTGCAGAGGGAGGAGGAGATATTCCAATTACTGAGAAAATAATATAAACCTTGACTATCCATCGAAAGCATTTATTAGCAGTCAATCTTTAGACAGGCACAACATATTACATCTGATCCCACCCACAACTGTCACCTTTAGGGTCCCTAAAAGCAGGTTAAACCGGTACAAACACTCGTTCCTACAAACGAACTCAACAAACGAATGTAATGTATAGTTTAAATGTGGCCATTGGGTTTGTGCAATTGGGCTTCTTTGTCAGTATGTTGTGTGTGCAAACTGTGGACATAAGTCATTTGTGAATATGCTGTTGTCGGGGGCAGAATCCAAAACAAATTTCCTTTCGAAGACAATAAAGCGTATCTAACAAATACCTGTAAAGAAACTCAGGTGTCAGAGCAGCAAAAGGAATACAAGTGAAAGTTTACACAAGGACAGTAAGAATAAAAATGAAAAATGTTAGTAGAAGAATAACTAAAGTATGTAAAACATGGAGCTGCTGAGTTTACATTAATTTTATAGAGAAGAGAAGATGTTGAGTAGTAAGTGAAATGTGAAACAATCATTAAAGAGGTCACTGAATGAAATATTCAATTGTTTATCACAAGAACAAACTTATTTATTACACCGCTTAGTTGAATACTCGATTCTGATTGGTTAATTTGTACATAACAGGCTACATAACAGGCCGTTGCTAAGGAGAACAGAGCGTTGCTAAGGAAAACAGACCGTTCAATTTACCGTAAGCTGTGGACAACAAACTTTAGTTTTCTTGATCAGAAAACACCGTGGAACACTTTTAGAAAGTAAACAAAAAGATAATATATAATAATCTAATAAATAAATAAAATGCAGGAGGGTATTTAAAAATATGACAAGAAAAAAACACTACAATTTCTCATTTATTTAAAAAATTGACGTTTTGATGGTGGCTTTTTTGTAAGAAAGAAGTTTACCATGGCCTTTGAGCGCTAACCCACCACAATCCCCCTGCTATTGATTTATATTTACTTATTTGCCCTACTTGTTTGTTTGTTTTTCCAAAGCGGCCTTTGGTCCCTTGAAAGGCGCTATCAAAATGTGATCTATTATTATTATTAAAACAATAGTCGGTAGTCAGACGGTCGGCTCTGTGAGGCTGAACTTTTGACTTTATGATGGCAATAAAATAAAGAGTTAATCCCTAAAGTTATTATTGGATTTGATCCCGATAAGATCATGAATGTTGGAACTAAACGTCACGGCAATCCCACAAATCTAAACCCCATGTTGGCGCAGATATTAATTGATAAAGTATGACTTTAGTCTACAATAAAAAAACATGAGGAAATACTGAGCGTTGAGTCAAATCCAATCAATTTGCAGATTGTTGATGTTTGAGGTCAGATCTCATGATTTCTGTTTTAATATTATTATCTGTCTTGTTTGAGGTTAAAAAACTATTTTCCGTCAGACGGTTTAACAGGATTGTTATGACGTTGTTTTTCTTCAATTTTGTCTGTTAATTTGCAGAGTTTGTTTACTGTCTAGTGCAGGACAAATGGCATGATCCCTAACTCATTCCCCACAGGAAACACTGCCTGAAATGTTTAAACCATGGAGCATATTCACACTTAAATTAGTGTGTATATTCAGGTTTTTGAACACGTAAAGTCGCTAAAGATTGGCGATAAACTCCTTTCTGAATTGCTGAGAATTGAGCGTGCCTTTCTGACTTGTTTCTGTCATTGTCAGAACAGGAGAAAAGCTAATACAGTTTTATTTCGTCACTGTAATATGCAAGTATAACCAGGAAATGGTGTCAATAATACACAAATACGTGTCAAAGCATGTACATGTTTCACCCTGCTGTAAGAGCCATTTTGATGAATGTCATGTTTGGGTTGAGGTTGTGTGTTGTTCACTGTGTGTACAGGGTGTCCTATTACCAAGGGCCAAGGGTATTTATTTAATGTATGTGTTGTCAGAAGATTGGGTGTGTGTGACCCCGGAAAGAGCAGATGGTTTTTGAACGCAGTAGCGCGAGTGTGAACCGCAAAGATTATTCGTTATTGAATGAAAATATTGACTTTCACGAGGCACAAAATTGGATAATAAATGGATTGTATTATTCCAAATCTGATAACAAGCCTACCGATTCATGATTGTAAACAACACAAACGGTATCTATCAACACAGTAAAGCACGTCAGCCCAGGAGTTCCCAGGAGTTGAACCACCACAGTAGCTTTAGTTTAGGGCCTCCAAGAAATACACTTACAGTAATATGTTTTCTATCAAAAGCCACCAGACTCCATTCACAGAAAACGCTAATGTAACCTCGCTGATCATCAAGTTTCCATCACTGCCGATAAATGACCTGAGAGCAACTTGGACCTGGAATAAAAGCTGAACTCTTTTCACTGAAGAGTCAAAGCTTCATTTATTGTTAAATGGAGAACAGTTACTGTTGGAGTTGGAGTTGAAAAAAGACCTCAGGATGTAAATTAAAGAGTGATATTTTCATTGAAGCAGGGAATGTGTGATCCGTCAGCTGACACTGTCTTCAGGCTGTAAAACCTCACAAACACACATCTTAGAACTGATCTGGATTAAAAAGAAGACTCTTTAAAGTAGAGACACTACATACTGATATACACCTGAACATCAGCAGGAGAGGACTCTTTAAAGTAGAGACACTACATACTGATATACACCTGAACATCAGCAGGAGAGGACTCTTTAAAGTAGAGACACTACATACTGATATACACCTGAACATCAGCAGGAGAGGACTCTTTAAAGTAGAGACACTACATACTGATATACACCTGAACATCAGCAGGAGAGGACTCTTTAAAGTAGAGACACTACATACTGATATACACCTGAACATCAGCAGGAGAGGACTCTTTAAAGTAGAGACACTACATACTGATATACACCTGAACATCAGCAGGAGAGGACTCTTTAAAGTAGAGACACTACATACTGATATACACCTGAACATCAGCAGGAGAGGACTCTTTAAAGTAGAGACACTGCATACTGATATACACCTGAACATCAGCAGGAGAGGACTCTTTAAAGTAGAGACACTACATACTGATATACACCTGAACATCAGCAGGAGAGGACTCTTTAAAGTAGAGACACTACATACTGATATACACCTGAACATCAGCAGGAGAGGACTCTTTAAAGTAGAGACACTACATACTGATATACACCTGAACATCAGCAGGAGAGGACTCTTTAAAGTAGAGACACTACACACTGATATACACCTGAACATCAGCAGGAGAGGACTCTTTAAAGTAGAGACACTACATACTGATATACACCTGAACATCAGCAGGAGAGGACTCTTTAAAGTAGAGACACTACATACTGATATACACCTGAACATCAGCAGGAGAGGACTCTTTAAAGTAGAGACACTACATACTGATATACACCTGAACATCAGCAGGAGAGGACTCTTTAAAGTAGAGACACTACATACTGATATACACCTGAACATCAGCAGGAGAGGACTCTTTAAAGTAGAGACACTACATACTGATATACACCTGAACATCAGCAGGAGAGGACTCTTTAAAGTAGAGACACTACATACTGATATGTACTGATACTCAAATCAATCAGTTCAAACAATCGAGTTGTTTTCCAAATTCCTGCAGCCATATACTCAAAGGCTTTCTTATCACATGCACAACATTTACAGCGTAGTTGTTGGCAAGGAAGTAAGTTAGGCTCCTCCAACAGTGCAACATACAATATATTTAAGACATGAAAGGAAATAAAGAAGTGAAAGAATGCAATGGAAAATGATTACCAGCCAAAACTCAACACCTAAAGAGATCCATCTGCTCCTGCTCTCTGTTCACTCATAAGGGGAATCATATCAGCACTCAATTATTTACACACACAGAATGAAAGTAAGTATTAGAGGGTCCTTTAAAAGCACACAAGGACACCTTACAATTCATAAAATATTCGAAGGAAGGGTTTAAGACCGTACAAAAGGACCGTAACAGGGAAACAGTATTATGAGCCGTTTCTTTAGAAGCCTCTGCAGGTGTGAAGCTCTTCCCCTCACCTCATCTCTCTGCTTAGAAATCAGCTTCATCTTCCCTCAGCTCCTCTGCAGACTGAGTCCTCTGAGATGAGACGGAGCAATACATCACGTGACCCTCCACCCTCCACCACCCCCCACCTCGTGGTCCTTGTGACAGGCTTGAAGCTAACGTTGTGCTCTGTCTGTGTGTGTGTGTGTGTGTGTGTGTGTGTGTGTGTGTGTGTGTGTGTGTGTGTGTGTGTGTGTGTGCAGCAGAGGAATGTCCGGCCCCCCCCCCCCCCCCTCCAGCTCCAAACGCAGCGTTAAATTACCGGCGCTCAGCTGACGTCTCACAGCTTATAGAGTGTGTGTGAACAGGAGGCGTTGCTTCTTGCTTCAGCGGAAAGTAAGGAGATAATAGAGTCAGGCCGAGCAAACACAGTCTGAACATTGATTTTTAGATAAACCAACGTAAATAATCGAGACTTCCAGGTGATAAGAGGCTGAGCGTGTCTGGGTCGTGACCTTTGAATAAATACAATAATAACATAAGTTGGGAACAGGTCAACAGAGGAGAGGTTGCAACTCATTGTTAATTAGTTTACAGATATCTTTCTACGTAAATAGGTTAATTGTTTGGTTTAAAAAGCTTTTTCTGTTAATATAAATATGTGTATTTACTTCTGATGATTATATAATAAGTTTTATTTGCACACACACACACACACACACACACACACACACACACACACACACACACACACACACACACACACACACACACACACACACACACACACACACACACACACACACACACACACACACACACACACACACACACACACACACACACACACACACACACACACACACACACACACACACACACACACACACACACACACACACACACACACACACACACACAACACACACACACACACACACACACACAC